AAAAAAAAAAAAAAAAAAGAAATCAACCAATATTCAACATCACTGACCCTTTGAGAAATGCAAATTAAAATAACACTGAGGTAAAAACAAAAATACACAAAAACCCAACACTGAGATTCCATCTCACTCCAGAAAGAATGGTTATCATAAAAAAAACAAAAACAAAAACAAATAATACCAAATGCTGGCAAGGGCGTGGGGAAAGAAGAGCCTGTCTCCATTGTTGGTGGGAGTGTCTAGAGTGATATAATCTATGGAAATCAGCATGGAAATTCCTAAAAAAACCCCTAAAAATAGAAATTCCATTTGACCCAACTATTTCTTCTAGGTATCATCCTAAAAGAGTTATCACAGTGATATATGTATACCCATGTTTATAGCAGCACAATTCATAATAGCTAACTCTTGGAAATAGCCTATTATGTCTGTCAACAGATAAATGGATCTTATATAAATGTATATAAATGTGGAATTTATATACAATGGTAGTACTGCTTTGCCATAAAGGAAATACTTGTCATTTATAGAAAAATGGATGTACCCTGATACCGTAATGTTAAGTGAAGTAAATCAGATGCATAAGCTTAAATACTGCATGGTTTCTCTCATATGAGAAACCTAATATACTATATAAATAAAGTGCAAAATAGGGGCTGGGGATTTAGCTCAGTGGCACAGCACCTGCCTGGCAAGCACAATGTTGTGAGTTCAATTCCTGGTACTGGAAAAAAAAAAAGTGCAAAATAAAAAGCACAAAATAAAAGATAGACAATAGGAAAAAATGACAGAGAAGTTACTGTAATCCAGCATGGGCAATATATCTAAAAGTGTACCTTGATTTAGTATGTTTGTCTTATGTGTTTTACATGTTTTTTGACTTGTTAGTCTGGCTATTAATCTATATTTATGGCAACTTGATAAGGATTTACAAAATAAATAAATGAATCTGACTCTGGCAAATGAATGAATGAATAAATAAAGTGAAGAAGAGTGGCTCCACTTGTATATTTATCAGTTATCTTCTCTCACTTGAATGTTTATCCTCATACATGTTTTATTACTTTCCTTTTTCCAACACTCCATTCACATCTCTAACACAGAGATGATGAATAATAAATAGTTTGCTTCTCCACCACAATTCAATTTTAGAATTGTGAAAAATCTGCCTGGATAATGACTACTTTTGCATTTATTGCCAACCATCTCCAATGACCCTTTTCTTAATCCTATGTCAGGATAAGCAGCATTTCTGGAAAAAAAAATGGGGAAAAAATATAAGAAAAAAAATTCCAGCAAACATGTGTCTGAAATTTTCATAAGAAAATGTTGCCACTGGGCATGGTGGTGCATGCCTGTAATCCCAGTGGTGGTGCACACTTGTAATCCCAGCACTCGGGAGGCTGAGGCAGGAGGATCCTTGCGAGTTCAAGACCAGCTTGGGCTACAAAGTGAGCTCAAGGCCAGCCTGAACTGCATAGCAAGACCCTATCTCAAAAAGTCCAAAAATAAAAAAAGAAAAAAGAAAATGTTGAAAGAACAAGATTTCAGTCCACAGAATTGGAGTTCCTTGCCTAGTGCCTGCTCCAGGGCAGGATGCCCCCCTCAAGTGTGGATGAACCAGCCTGGCCTTCGGCTTCCAGGACCCAGTACCTGACCTGACCCCTGTGAAGGTGAAATTAGATACTAAAAGTGCCAATGCCTTATTTTATTATACTTTTTGTGGCACTGGGGACTGAACCCAGCAGGGCCTTGAGTATGCCAGACAATCAGCTCTGCCATGGATTACACCCCCAGCTCAAGAATGGTTTTAACTTATACAAATGCAATGTCCCACTGGCAGTAGTGGTACACACCTATAATTCCAGCATTTTGGAAGGCTGATGCAGGAGGATACCTAGTTAGAGCCCAGCCTAGGCAATTTAGCAACTTACTGAAACCCTGTCTCAAAATTAGCTCAGCATGAATACCCTAGGTTTAATCCCTAGCACTCCCCGCCCCACCACAGCAATGTCCCTTGGAGGTATTGTTATTACCTGATATTTTATTAGCAGTATTAAAAATGAGGTTCCTGTTAAACTAAAAATTGCCTAGAAATTTCTCTGATCAACTCTATTCTAAACAAGAAGGGGATAGTAAGTTCTGTACTGTGACAGGAGAAAAGATAGGTGTTGAATGACCACAGGGACTCTGAGGTCTGCAGTGGTGCTGGTCTCTTCAATGTAAAAGTGCACCTCACATGGCTTAGGCAGGAGTGAGGTTTGGGAAATCAGATAAAATATGTACTCACAAGCTCAGTGAGGTTTAAAACCCAGGGTCTCAGGTAAAGTCATCTAATTTTAAAATCAGGGCAGGGAAGTGAACACCTTCCCTTCTCACAAGCTCAGTGAAGTTTAAAACCCAGGGTCTCTGGTAAAGTCATCTAATTTTAAAATCAGGGCAGGGAAGTGAACCCTTTCCTTCCACTAAGCCCATGAGGCGGTGGTGGTTCCTGAGCTCCAAGGCTGGCTGGGGCTCTGGCTTCACCCTGACACAGGAAGCTCTTGGCCGTGACTGTGCTCATAGTGAGCAGAACCAAAAGGCCAACAGCTCTTCGGGGCACTTAGGACTTATCACACACACCACATGGCCTATACCAGCCTTGGTGCCGAGCAGTGGCCCATCCTCCCCTGCTCGTTCACAGCCACAGGGGAACTCCTGTTCCAGTGACAAATCCAATGGGTGGGGAATCCGAAGTCACACCTACTACGCGCTCACAGACCAGGCCAAGAAGGAAGATGCTGAGAGCCAAGGGAGATTTTTTTTCGGTCTTTTTGAGGCAGGGTCTCGCTATGCAGTTCAGGCTGGCCTTGAGCTCACTTTATAGTCCAGGCTAGTCTCAAACTCGCAACGACCCTCCTGCTTCAGCCTTCCGAGGCTGGGTTCATCTCCAGCATGGAAAGAAGAAAGGAAAGTAGGTGGGGGGAGAGAAGGAGGGAAGGCTGTGGTGGTATTGGTTCAGGGGCTTTGCACAAAAGGGTCTCGTGGTAGGCAGGCTGCACTGGGAATGTCTGGGCACAGTGGAGCCGCGGAGACACAGGCTCTGGGGTTGCTCATTCCACGAGCACCACAGTCCCTCCTGTGTGCCAGGCTTGGGGCCACAGATGCCAGCTCTGTCCTAGTTCACTATGCTGTTTTCTCTATACTTGTGCATATTAACAGTCTCAATAATAAAACGATGAAAATGTACATAAATGCTATTTTATTTAATTTTTTTTTTTTTGGTTTTTTGAGACAGGGTCTCCCTATGCAGTTTAGGCTGACCTTGAGCTCACTATGTAGCCCAAGCTGGCCTAGAACTCATGGCAAGGAATATTCCCAGCCTCAAAGGGTGACAGCTGCCAACCTGGCTCCTCTCTGAACTGGGACTGTTGAGTCTGATGTTCGCAGACAGTGCCATCCAAGATTCTGAACACAGCCCCTTAAAGAAGTGAATACAACCATGAGGTAAGCAAGGAACAAGCACCACAAGCTCACGTTGTGTTTACATGAACTGTCAGGGGCATCCTGAAGGAGACTCACTTCACAACAGGCATATAGAAAAGTATTAGAAGTTCTCCAGCATTTTAAAGTCACTCTTGTTGCCCCCCAATAAAAGAAAAATTAAAAAGATAAAGTGTCAGAAAATGAACCCATTATCTGCTCTGTCACAGAAGAAGCCACAAATCATTCAGGTTTCTAATTTCAGCACCTGGTTCTTTAAATAGTATTGCAGACCTGCTAGGAATCAACGTTCTTACCTTTTCAGCAACTCTTCTAAGAGCCACAAGCCACGTCTTCAAGAAAACTGGCAGATTTGCTGACTGTGCTGTGCTCACTTTTATTTGCATGCCAGGCCATAAAGAACTGCAACTTTTTTCTAGTCTCTTTAACGAAAACAAAGAACTGCAATCTCATGTTCAGTCAGACTTCACAGCCTTCTTCCAGGAGGATGAAAATTACTTTTCCAAAACACCAATGTAAGAGTGACCTGTAAATCTCATAATTTGTGGGACACACACATCTACCTTTATTGCCAGACTGCCTCAAACCAAGTCCCCATTCTTTCAGTTTTCTTGAAGGCAAGCGCTTTATGAAGGGTCACCAGAAACTGTTCTCCAGCAACTTTTATTGGTCACAGAACATGGAGGAATATATAGTATCTACGGTTTAGTTACAGGCTTGCTCATAAAACAAGTTTGTCTTAACTTGCTCATAAAACAATTCCTGCCCCGAATGAACTGATGTGCTCCTACCCCAAGGGGCTGATCCAAGCTGAGCAGTCCAGTGAGACTGCAGTGAATCGCTCTCCAGCGAGTTTCTAGAGATGGTTCAGTTTGAGAATTTGCTTCAGCATCTAAATTTTCAAAGCAAAATATTCATGGGATAAAAAAATCCTAAAACGTTAAAATATCTAAAATAGATACATACTGTTATTTTTAGCCAAATCATTTTCTAAAGTTTGTGTCTCTGTGCTCCTATGTTTACTAAAATAAGACAAGAAAAGGAGTAGGCAGCTTCTAAATACATGTTAGTAAGTTTACCAGTCTATGACTAAAAAGTCACAGCGGAAGGACATGTAATGTGAAGAATACTTTTCAGCCTTTCTGACTTAATACTGTACCTCAGCTTTAAAGAAAGTTTTCATTATATAGTTTTTGCACTGGCATTCTACGTTATAAGAACAATGTTTATAATATATGTGATACTTCACTATACCCACTATGTGAAAAACAGGTCAATCCATAACTGTAGCGGGGCATTTAAATACTCAACAAAAGCTAAGAAGAAGTTTCTCAGTTAGTATCCTTTTACTATGCGTTAGAGTTAGTGGGTCTCCCTGAACACAACATAATGGAAGATTTGAAACAGAGGCAGTGATGCCCTTATACCGAACTCCAGAAAAAGGACAGTAGCAAACCGGTGCTTTCTCATGGGAGACCAGACATATCAGCAGCTGGAGGCACAGAAGCTGCCTGTGCTTGCCGTGTAACCCTGGTCCTGGGGGAATGTGTGCCTAAGGGGATGGGTCGAAGGCACCAGAATCCTGGCACCAGTCACATGGGTCACAACAGCGCAGGACAACAGGTAAAGAGCCTCGGGCTGACTTGGGCAGAAGCCTAACGTCAACTAAGAACGCACGGCATACAGTTCATGGGAAACTCCGCCTTTCACTTTATTTCAAGATGTTAGTGAATGATCATTGGTATTTCAAGTGTGGATCACATAACACAGTGCAGAATGTGGAAAGCAGAATTAAATAAGTAACACACTGGCTATTAATGCCAGAGTCCTTGAATATCAGGTCATAAATATAACCAATATGATGAGCAAGCACACCTCATATTAACGATTTTCAGTTCCTATGATTAAAAAAAATATTAAACTGCATTGCAACATTCTATCATACACCGGATACATGCAATGGAAAAGCATGGGGGTACACACAGTACACGGTCACGGCTCACGCTGAAGGTGAGAGGGACAGCGCGGGACAAGAGGTTTTTACACATGTGCGTAAGTCTGAGGGTGCTGTCCACTGGTCAGGGTCATTATGTGGCTGCTGGGTGTGTCCACACCAGCCTGCATCACACCCCGCACTGTCTTTTCCCCACAAAGATCTACTTCTGCATAGAGTAGAAAAAAGATGGTGGTAAAAAAACTTCAAATTCTTTGAGTTCCATCCCTGGTGTCCATATTTCATTGAAGACACCTGAAAATATTAAGAACAACTTAAAAATCTGCCTGGTTATAAATGTAGAAATAAATACAGGTTAAAGCCTAACATTAGCAGACACCTCTTCTTTTGCTTAATCCTTTTTCTTTTGACAGGACTGAGGATTGAGCCCAGGACGTTAACCCTGAGTGACAAAGCCAGCCCTTTTTTTTTTTTTTTAACCTTGAGGCAGTGTTTTACTGAGTCACTAAGTTGCCCAGGCTGGGCACGAACTTGTGATCCTCCTGCCTCAGCCACCCAGAGTGCTGGGAGTAAAGCCTATTGTGGTAAATGGGAAAAGGAGAAAGCTTTAAAAAGTTATATGGAGACATCTGCCAATTTTAGAAGTAAGCCTTCTATGTCAGCAAAAGGCACATTCACAGAGACCTCAATTAAGCCAAGGATGTCTCTTCCCTGGCCTAGTGAGACAAGGGCTTCTGTCTCAGCCACCCCTGCTGAGAGCCTTCTGGAAAGGGAATGAGGAGTTCCTGCGTGTCAGCTCTGTCACTCACACTCCGTCCTCTCCTTTCCACGCCGCAGCACCTCGGCCCTCGCTCTACTCTGTGCTCGAGCATGTTGGGCTGGGCTGGGCTGGGCTGGGGGTGCACCCACCTGCTCCTAGCACCCGCACTCCTGTGCACTCGGGGCCTGTGTGCGCCTTGGGGACCGCAGCTGTCTCAGGGCAGCGTCTCCATACTGGATGCCTGAGCCCATTCTTTCCGGGTCCAATTCACCTGAGGACCAACAGAGACTCCTTTAGAAGAATCGTTATGCTTCTGTGATCCCCAAACACACCCAGTGAAGAAAGCAAAGCACCCACCACATCTCTGTGACACTGAGCTGAAGAGAGGATAAACACAAGTTTGTGTGAACAGGCGTTAAGTATCTCTAGAAGGACACAAAGGGCTGTGCTAATGGCTGGCTTCAAATTTAGGACGACTGGAGACGGGAGAGGTGGCACTGGAGGGAGATTTTCTACTGTGTGCTCCGGTACATGCTGAGTTTGGAATTATGTGAGGAGAGAATGTGTGCAAAATAAGTCAATTAAAAATCAAAACTATAGAGACACCACTGTTCACTTAGTAGGTAGATAAAACTTCAACTCTGATCACACCCCTAAGGTCCTGGCCTCTGTGAGGCGCCTGTCTGTGGGAGGAAAGGCGATGCCTGCACCTGATCCCAGCTGCTGATGTCCCAACCTCCGCGCCCTCTGTGGGAGCTCATATCTCACACCCTCAGGCTGTGTGAAATGACACTGAGAAGGTCCCTCTCTGCAGCCTGGTTATGACAGCAAGATGTTGGCCACAACCCAGATGTGTGCAGCAGACCAGCTCTGCGCGTCACGGGGAAACACACGCAGAACAACTCACACCACACGTGACCTCCCCATTCCTGGAGTTATGAATACACCCACATGCACGGAAGCTCCTTTCCCAGAGTTGTGGTGATTTGTGGGTGTAAGTGAAAGAACCAAGCCCTGGCAGCTACCATGTGCTCATGCCTGTGTAACAAAGGGGAAGAAACAATGGTTTCTAAACCCCAAGGATGTAGAGTTCCACAGTGACAATGAAAAAGTAATGCTGAAGAATCTGAACTCATAACCTTATACTTTTCCATCTGGTATAGCTACGGACTTCATGCTCTCAGGAGAAAAGCATCTGAAGAGGTTCATATGTAGTGTCTGCCACCACATCGGAGGACCCCACATTGCATAGCAGCTCTATCACGCTCTGTAGCATGCCAGGTTTAACAATAAATATTTATCTCAAAGGCTTAAAAAATAAGGTTTTATACTAAGCTTAGCAAGTTCTTTTGTTTGTTTTCCGGTCAAAAACATAAAAAGAGCCGAATGTGGTAGTGCACACCTGTTATCCCAGCACACTGGAGGCTGTGGTGGGAGGTCTGCTGCAAATTTGAGGCCAGCCTGAGCTACAGAGCAAGCCAGCCTAGAATAAGACAGCATGACCCTGTGCCAAAACCAAACCAAACTGCAGAAACCAAACCAAACCAACAAAACCATAAAAATGGTGGGGTGCTTTCTGGGACTGATGACCAGCCCGACCCCTCACTGTCCCCAGCGTCGTTCCCTGTCCTTTCCTTGCTTCCCGCTTTCTTTTGCTCCTCCCCTGTCTTCTCCCCTGCACTTACCTTGGTCAGAATTCCCTCAAGCTCCACCTGCTCCAAATCTACTGCCCTAGGTCCCTCCCACTGGAGGGGACGCCCTGCCCTCTCTCCACCCTCTGTCCCCTCCAGTGGCTGGGACTCCCTGCTGGACCGGGCTTGACAGATGTGAGCACTGCCTACCACATGCAGGTCTCAGGGTGGTCCTCAGCCCTGAGGCTTCCCCTCTGAATTAACAATGGACAGTGCGTCCTGGGCTTCTCTTTATGACCTCTGAGTCTGTCCTTCCTTGGCTGTGGCCGGCAGGTCACTCATGCTCCACTCACCTTCCTCTGCAGGCCTGGCTCTACCACTGCTCCCTCCTTGACGAGCACATTCCTTACTCTCAGCTATCTCTGGTATTGACAGCCCCCAAATGAACACAGCTAACATCCTATTTCCCATGTGGAACCAGCTCAACTCCCAAAGAGTTCCTGCTTCTCCTCCACTCCCTACTGGGTAGCCTATGTATGAGTACTGATCCTCATCACCCTCCCTACCCAAGCTGCCCTGTATACTGTTCAGTCCATCTAATACTGCTGCCCATGTGTCCAGGGCTCACCAACATGGTGTCTTCTCTGTTTCTGCATCCTCACAGAGCCTTGGTTCCATCCCTCCTATACTCAGAATTCTTGCCCTCCTGCATGAATGCCAGAGCCTCCTGCAAGGCTCACCTTGGGTTATAGCCTGGTCTCATCCTCACCAGCTCCCCCTGCAGTGTTCTCTGTCTTTGGTGGACATCAGACTTGTGGGACAGAGCATCCAGAGTGCCATGCCAGGTGTGGCTGAGAACTAGGCCTTCTAGAGGGTCCCAGGGGAGCAAGGCACAGTTCTGATGAGAAGCAGTGACTGTAAGATGAGGTTCCAGGTCTTCTCTGAGGACTGAGAAGGTCTTCTCTGAGGACTGCTTCCACTTCCTCAGTTTCTCTACTGCTATCCCCCACCATCTTCCCAGCTGCCCCTTTTGCAGAAATGCAGTCACCTCCTCCAGGAAGCCTGCCTGGCAACTCTGTGCTTGGGCTGGAGAAGGCCCCCTCTTCCATGCTGCCCTGGCAGCCTATATGCCTCTTCATCACCCCACTGATCCTGAGAATTAGAATTGTTTTTAATCATCTGCCAGGAAAGACAGTTTCCTGAGGGCAAGGGCTGCAGTTTACTCAGCCTAACAAAGGATAGGCACTCAGATATCTGGCTGCATTAACTAAGTGGTGAATGCTCACATATAATTCTGGTGAAATGTACCTAAATATCAACTTTAGTAACCTGCAACTATGCAGTCCTTTGCTGCCTATGTTAAGATTACTTTATTTTTACTGCATAAGAAATACAATAATGTACACTGCAACTGAGGTGTGTTCATTTAGCTCAGAAATAGTTCCTCCCAAGTGCATGGCTCCTGACATCCAGTATGCAGCGGCCAACCTTATATGATCTACTTGCATCTTCCTCAGACCACACTCTGCCCAGTCGCCCAGGACTTCTGGTCCTACAAATCAGCATGCTGCTGACAGATGCTGCCCAAGGCCTATTCTTTGTCTGTATGTGATGGGTCCCAAAAAGACTCGACTCTAAGAGCACCCCCTCCCGCTATAACCCCGCTCCCTCCACTGGCTGGGCCTACTCCTGGTGGTAGCTGCAGAGCAGAAAGGGAGGTTCGAATCTCAGCCATGGGACTTTCAAGCCCATGAGTAGGGCTTCAGGTTGGAAGGGGAAGAGAGGGTGGGGCCTGCCATGCCTAAATTCATTAAAAGGCGACACTGAAGCAGAGGGTGACACACACAGCAGAGTGTCTACCGAGGGAAAAGATTTACCTGATTCGATTTTGTTAAGTATTTTTCTTGCACACTGCACAAAGGCCTCTTCTACATTCTCCCCTGTTAGTGCACTTGTCTCCAAGAACATCAGCTCTAAAAGTGACATCAAACAAGACACAAGCCACGTTTAGAAGATGATCTTAATATCCAGACACTATCAGGCTGCTTAACATTTTCTCATAATAGCAGAGAGAATGTAACCCATGGCCTCTGGCCATCTGTTTCTATAAACACAGAATCAATACAGTTCATAAAACATTAGCGCATCTAAGCTGTCTCTGAATGGTAACAATCACCCTGTGCCAGCCCTGATCTGGGGGCGAGCAACAGGCCACCCAGCAGTGGTCATCATGGAGGAGGCTGGCTACAGAGAAGCAGCAATGTCCTTCTCCACACGGTCTGCGTGTTACCACAAACCACAGGCATCTATGCTTTCTAGGGGCCAGAGACATCTCACTTGTGTTAATGCTTCTTTAGCCCCAGAGCAGCTGCCGATCCAGGGGAAGCTGTTCTTGTTCGTTTGGGACCAACACCACCTCTCTGGCCTCTGGTCCTCATTGGCAAAGGCCACTCCTCCTGACCTGTCTCCTGTGTTGCCACATTCTAATCAGCTCCTCAAAAACTAACCCTGACCTGCTCACTTCATGTTTACTCTCAGCAGAAAACCTGTCGAGCTATAAGAGCAGGTTGGGGTCTTAAGAGTCCAATTAAATACGGACACTAGGATATTCTAGTTCTTGGTTAACTCTCAATATTAAAGTTACTTAAAATGTCTGAATCTTTATCATTCTGCTATCCATAAGCCACCCTTAACTTTACGTGGCAGCCTTGTGTATTCTCTATGGAAATTCAGAGAAGTTTCAGTCACCTTTGAATGTGAGTAAAATAAGGCCAGTACATTAAATGTTTCTTCTGCTTTCTACTTAGAATGAACATATCATCAGCATCATTTCAAAACACAATGACAAAGCTCTTAACCTAAAACCTAATATTCAGAGACCCTGGGCCAAAATGTCATTAAAGAATGTTAATACATTTGCTTTCATCTGTAGAGTAACTTGTAGGCAGAATACAATATACTGAAAGTAGGCTAGATATGCCTGAGTTTATAGTAGAAATTCCACATCTCCAAAGTACAGTTTAATCTCAAAATTCAAGCTATCTTAAGCTCAAAGCAATGCCATTGTGCCCAGATCTGCCCTTGAAGAAGGTGGGAGGGAGGTCACTTGCCGTTCTCTTGCGCGAACCTGGAGGCTTCAAGGAAGGTGACTTCCCGGTCGGCATCCAGGTCCTTCTTGTTCCCGCAGAGGATGATGACGATGCTCTGGCTGGCCAGCATTCTGGCATCTGTTAACCAATTAGTAAGCGCATTGTAGGTTTCTCGGCTGCGTAACATAAGATTGTGAAAATAATACATGTATTTTATAAAACTAGCAACTCTTTCCAGTCACTGTTACTATTCACAAGCCTTTTCAACAATTCAGGTCAGGGCAACAGTACCTCTGAGGTAACTCAGGCACCCTGAACACACCTTGAACGCACCTTGATGTCAGACCCACAGGGTGTATGCAACAGCACGCCCAGGTCCAGAAGGAAACGGAGTCCTGTCTCCCTCACCCATAGGCATCTACTGCACTCTGAGTACGGAAGGCCAGCGCTGGACCCTGCTAGGCCACTTAGTGAGTTCCTGAATTGCTGGTGCTTTGTCCCACAAGAATTTATCATGCTAACTCTTCTTCCTAAGGACTTGGTGACAATGACTACTGTCATCCTCCTTTGTCATGAGGAGCCTGAGGCCCAGAGTCCAAGGTCACAAAACAGCCACTGGCAAAGCAGGACCTGGCCAGGTCTGTCTGCCCCAGGACCAAGTTTCTGCCCTCCCACACATGAGCACACATATGTCTAATGGCCTCACACCTTGGCAGGACAGGGCTTGTACTGTCAGTCTGGCGAGCACAGGGTGGGCTGGACTGGGAGCTGCCACCTTCTCTTGGATGCCCAAGAAGAAAGTGATCATGTGAGGTCCTCTCTCGGGATGGTTCCTACCCAAGAGGAGCCCTCAACAGTGCCCTTGGACCACATGTTTCTAGGATGGTGCCGTAAATGCTGGGTCAATGCAATCTGTCCTTCAAGGACAGGATGCTTTACAATCTATACTGTCTGAGCTGGGCATGGTGGCACACGTGTTATCCCAGCACTTGGGAGGCTGAGGCAGGAGGATCGTTGTAAGTTCAAGGCCAGCCTGGGCTACAAAGTGAGCTCAAGGTCAGCCTGAACTGCGTAGCAACACCCTGTCTCAAAAAGACAAAAAAAAAAACACCAAAAAACAAACTATACTGTCTGATGCCTCAGTTACCAGCCATGTGTGATACTGAGCATCTGAAATGTGGTAGTGTGACCAAGGGACTGAATTCTCAATCTCAGTTTCAATTGAACTGCCACATATGGCCAATTATAATACTTATATTAACTAATTTAAACTTCTGATAAGTGCATGAGCATTACATGGTTATTACTTGTCTCACTAACAAACTCAGACTCTGACAGCAAAGGCCTCATGTCTGTGGGGCTGCATGGGCAGTGGCCAGGGCTGGGGCTTGAACCTGGCAGTCCAAGCCTGGAGGTTTTGTCCTCAGCCTCTCACAACTCACTTCTAATGTCTCTGCATGATAAAGCTTCGTGGACCCTGAGGAACGTGTCTGGGCATCATGTTAAGAAACGCAGTGAAAGAGGACTGCTGTATCTACCTAAAGCCTTACAAAGACATTTCCTGTATGGTAGGATAGTGGCTGAGACCAGATCAAAGCCCTCTAAGACATACAAGAAAGGGCTGAAGGGCTTTCTGGATGCTACCTTGCACCCACCCATGGACACAGACACATACACAGGACCTCGTCAAGACTGGCCCCCAGAATGCAGGGCACTGGGCGGCCTCTGCCGTGGGGAGCTGGAATTACCTGGTGATGTCATAGACAAGGAGAGCCCCAGCCGCACCTCTGTAGTAGCTTCTTGTCACAGACCTGAAAGAATTGCACAGGTTTCAATTTCAACCAGTCAGAACCCCTTACAACCAAAACCATCTTCCCATGGAAACCCCCTGCTTCCTCTGTAAACTATACCACAGGGCAGACCCTGAATCAAAAGAAAGCACTCCTGATCTCTGCATTTATGTGTGAGGGATTATTCTGCTGGAAATTGTGCCACAAAAACAATGGGAAGGAGTAGGGATTAGGCCAGGACAAGTAGGGTGTCCCCTAAATTGGGGCAGCTCAACTGGGCTGTGCGTGAAACAGCAAAAGGAGGCTAAAGCGTGTGTAGGTGGTGAGACACTGCCAGATAAGCATGGGCACGCAGCAGGGCCCTCACTCCTCTGTGGGGAACACCATGCCGCACCCTACAGTGTTCCTCTTCCTCTTCCTGGGCCTGCCTTCTGTCCTGCCCAGCTCTATCTGCCTTCATAAAGGGTCCGACCTCTTGTTTACCCTTTCAGCTTCCAGGTTTGTTTTTGGTGAAGTGCTTCCTCCTAGCATTACCAACCTTTCAGATTTTCCCCAGTACCAAAATGGAATTCCCTCTGGTGCCTCTCATTTTGAGAAAGGGCACTCAGATTCTTAGATCAAGTTATATTACACTCTTTTTTGCGGGGAGGGGACGGGGTCTCTCTAAGGCTGGCCTTGAACTCTTGATCCTCTTGCCATAGTCTCTCTAGCACTGGGATTACAGAAGGGCACTACCACTCCTGGCTTCCTTCCACTCTGTTGTTTTGTTTTTTTGAGACAGGTTCTTGCTATGTAATTCATGCTGCCCTTGAACTCACTTATATAGCCCAGGCTGGCCTTGCACTCACAGCAGTCTTCCTGCCTCAGCCTTCTGAGTGCTGGGATTACACGCATAAGCCACCATGCCAGGCTTCCCACTTACTTATTAATAATTTATTTTACAATGCTTTGTTTTGACATGTGATTTCTTATGTGAATTATTCAGGTCTACAAATGTAAGCATCTGAAAATACTTTTTGAATGTATTAAAACTTTTGCAAAAAGAATTTTAACCAGTGTAATACCCATACATAGTTTTCGGTGGTTTTGTTTCTGTGTTTGTAAACTGCCCAGGCTGACTGTGAACTCATAATCCTTGTGCTTCAGCCTGGGATTGCAGATGTGTCCCACCATACCTGGCTCTCACACATATACATAGTTTTAAAGTAGCATGTTCCTAAGTGTCTTCAAATGACATAGCCACCTCATGCCTTCCTCCCCAGGAGCTCTGAGCCCCAGAGAAGCTCTCTCCTTTGCAGATTTGGTTTTTCTTTTTGTGATGGTTGAGTGATTACGTCAATTTGAGAAGTTTAGTTAAGAGATGCTTAACTAAATTGGCTCAGCAATTCTACACCCTAGGGTGTGGAAGACCCACCCTAGGGCGGCTTGGCCCAAGGACCATACAAGGGGGAAATGAAGAAGGACGATCAGCTTCTGTTTCTTCTCTGTAGGAGCTACAATCATCTCCTGGCTTCCAGCACAGACTCTGTAGCCTTCTGGTGTAGACTTTTTTTTTTTAGTTTGCTTTGAGACACAGTCTGGTCATGTAGTTCAGGCTGTCCTTGAACTCACTAGGTAGCCCAGGCTGGCCTCTAACTTGTGGCAATCCTCCTGCCTTAGCCTCCCAAATGCTGGGATAATAGGTGTGCACAACTCTGGCACAGACTCTTCAGTCTTCCGTTGCAGACTCATCAGCCTCCTAATATGGACTTGCACGGGACACTGCAGTAAGTTCAAGATCTTCAGGAGCTGGGGATTTAGCTCAGCAGCACAGTGCCTGCCTGGCAAGTGCAAGGTTGTGAGTTTGATTCCGGGTACCAGAAAAAAACAAACCAAACCAAACCAAAACAAAAAAACATCAAGACCTTGGACTGAATCCTTTGGACTTGGACTGACACCCTCGGCACACTTCCTCATCCAACTCTGTGGATATACATTTGTATATCTTGTGGTATACCTGTTTGTCTAGTAAAACACTGACTGATACACTTTTATCTGATTAAGTCAGCAAAGGATGCATGCTGAGCACACGTGTACACACTCTTCTGGACACGGGAGACACACACACACACTGCTAAGCTCTACAGTCTCTTCTGGCATTTGCTCCTGTAGTTCTGTAAAATGTCCCCAAACTCTGAATTATGGGTCTTGTAGTTGACAGTGTCCTCCTTTGGCAACATCTGAGTGATCTGAGGTCACTTAGAGGCACGTGCTGGATTCTTCCCCGGCTCTTCCTTGCAGTTACTCAGACCTTAGACCCTGCAGGCCTCATCCCTCCTTCTGGGCTGTGCCTCACCCTGGAAAAGCAGTGCTCTGAGCTAGAGCAGAGGATATGAGAGAACTTTGTTTCCTCCTGTTCTGCACGTCTGAAGGCATTTTGCTTTTATGTTTACACTTAATTTACAGTTGGGCTATGTGTAGAACTTTGAGTCTGAAGGTATCTTTCACTTTAACCTCTTGAGTTTTCAGTGTCTGTAGTTCCCAGCGGTGCCGTTGATGGTCCGATGTAGCTCTAATTTCCAATATAACCTGGGACTGTCTTCCCCTCCTGAAGCATTTCTGGGTTTGTGCATCATCCTGGTGTTTTGACAGGGCACGCTGGCCTGGATTTTTTTAGAACGCTGACTTCTGTTTCACTTTTGTAGTTGCAGGATGGTAACCATGCAATCTCATCAGCAATGTCCTGAAGTCACCATCCTGCACACAGCTGTGACTACACTGTCACTGAAGAGTGGAAGAAAGAATGTACTGTGGGATGTGTGCCATTCATCGGAAAGTGCATCAGTCAGTATGAGACAAACAGAATGACCATCACATGAGGTTTAAAAATTTCCCCCTTAGATGAGAAACACAGAAAAATGTGTTTCCGCCATTTCTTTACCTCTGTTTCAGTCTGAACGCACACCATGAACACACAGTGCCATGTCCCCTGACAGTGAGTTGGCCTTTAAGTTCCAAGGCCTCGCCGAGGCCCTACAGTGATCTTTAGGAATAGCGCTGCACACACTTCAGCCGAGGTTTAGCTGTCTTACCAATCAGAGCGTCCAGAGTGGAATTTCTGAAGTCACTGCTGGGGAAAGCTTTGGGGGGGTGAGACCCACATTGTGGAAAAAATACAATTAATTCTTTCAAAATACTTTTATCAAGTTAGAGGAAAAGCTACCTGAATCGTTCTTGTCCTGCTGTGTCCCATATCTGTAACTTTACATATTTACCACCAACATTTATTATCTTTGAACCAAATTCCACTCCTATTGTATGATTTGAGTCATCTTTGACTAAAAAAGAAAACAAGAACAAGGTTTTTAGTTTTAGGACATTAGCATAACAGGTTTATAGATTTAGACAGATAACATTAGAATTAAGGGCTGTGCCAATTGAAAAGGCAGTTTATCTTAGCTATTCCTTTCTCCAACATACTAGCTGATAAAAACCACTCACCGTTTTAAATAAAATACAGTAAAGCTTTTCCTTCAAGTCCCTCAGCATGGTACATTTGAAGGAAGTAGCCACCTTGAGTCAGAGATACCCAGTTATCCACTACTGAGAGCTCACAGGGTGATGGCTGATATCAGCACACCACTGTGAAGGACACAGTGTCCAGCAACGGGCTAGGCATTGGGTCTATAATGAGGTGGTGACTGTTCCAGCTGTTCTGGAGGACAGGTACTCTACAGCAGCAGTCCTCAATCTTTTTGGCACCAGGGACTGATTTCATGGAAGACAATTTTTCCATGGACGGGGGCTGGTAGTGGTGGAAGGTTTCAGATGATTCAAAGGAGCACGCAATGCGCAGTTCACAGTAGGATTCGTGCTCTTATGAAAATCTAATGCTGCTGCTGACCTGACAGGAGGTGGAGCTCAGTGGTACTTTAGCCAGGGGGTAGCTTTACTTGCTCCCTGGTGCTAACCTCCTGCTGTGCAGCCCAGTTCCAACAGGCTTGGGGGCCTCTGCTGTAAAGGAGAGGTGTGCAGACCAGGGTGAGAAGGAGGCTAGAGGGAGGCTGCCAAGCAGAACACGGTGACAGCTTCCGCAGTAACTAAAGGCCAGGAACATCAGAAATATAGTGACCCGCCCCTTGTCACTGCTGAATAGTTGGGGCCTCCGGGTGTCTGGGAAGGAAGGAAAGCTTATCAGGGCCAGCCTGGTAGCCTTAGGGTATTAATTTTTGGGTTTGAACAATGTAAAGATTTGGCAACCTGTAAAGAGATTTAGCCCAAGAAGGACTGGTTCTGTACTGTACACTGAATCTAGTCATTGAGCAAGGGACCCAACTGACTCTTCACTGACAGGAGTACAGGCAGCAGAATAAATACAGGAATTTTATTGTCCCCACCCCCTGCCAAGACTGTGCTATCTCGTCCCTTTTACTGAGGTGCTGTGACATTCCTGCTTCAGGTGTACTTCATAAAGCTAAGTTAATTCTGTTTTGGAAAGTCATTTTCCACAGTTTTTCCTACGATCATAGCATTGTTTATTTAGGGGCCTTTTAAGCTCACAGTCCCCTGGGGTCTCATACAGTTTGGAGTAAAGATCCAGCCTCATTTACTCAGGCAGCACCCATCAATGGCAGCCAGGCTCCTGTGACCAGAGCCCCCCAGGGACCAGTTGTCCTTTTCACACCTTGGCAGGCTATCAGCAAACCAGGATGGAGGGCAGCAATGGCCATAGGGCGTGTGTCATCTGAAAGACACCCCAGGGCTTGTCTGGCTGCTTCATTAGGAAATAAGGCTCCTGCCTGGGCCTCCCTTTGCTGGCCTACCACCATTGTATCATCTTATAGCACCAGGAAAACAACTATATACTGAACCACTATTAAACTGAAATGCTAACACAATAAAAATTAAATCATGTAAATAAAAATTTAAGAACATAAAATTTTAAAGTTATTTAAAAGTGCTTTTGCCCAGGCATAGTGGTGCACACCTGTAATCCCAGCACTCGGGAGGCTGAGGCAGGAGGATCATTTCGAGTTTGTGACCAGCCTAGGCTACAAAATGAACTTAAGGCCAGCCTGAACTGCACAATGAGACCCTGTCTCAAAAAGATAAAATAAATGAATAAATAAACAAACAAACAAACGTGCTTTGAAGCTATGATTTTTTTTTTCCCTAAAAAAATGAGTTTTACTGTAAGCAATCTGAGCTTGAGCACGTTCTCACTGGACATGTGTGAATGAAGGATTGCTGGGCAGCACTTACATTTTTTTTCAATAAACTGATGGAGTAAGCAAGATTTGCCAGTTCCTGCATTTCCGATAACCAAGAATTTAAACAAGAAATCTGAAAGACAAAGAGAAACTGTGAAAACAAACTTTAAAACAGGCGCTATGCATTTATTTTTCACACTCACAAAAGACTATGATCATAAAATTTAATGAAACCCTATTGTTAATGTAACAGAAGATAAGAAGCAACTGAATATTTAGAGAAAACAACAACATATATGTTGATTTAGAGTCTTGTTTATTTTTTGGTATTGGGAATTGAACTCATGACCTCACACTTGCCAGGCAGGTGCTGTGTCACTGAGCTATAGCCCCGGCCCTGCACATGTTGATTTACCTTTTCACATTCATGTAGTTTTGATATTTCACTCACATGTTAATTCAGTGGTTTTTCCAAACTGTACTCTTTAGCAGCTGTTTCTGAAGCTGGAAGGTTGAAAACTATTCTTGTAATGAATAAAACTGGTCCCTGCTAGCCGTGATTCAAAGAAATAGACACACTCAGTTGTAAGCAAAATTAACCTAGAAATTTCAAGTGTTTTCTGTACGAAAGAGTAAGTCTAGCTAACTTTGAAAAGCCCACTTTGTTTTCTTTGAGGTGTTGGGTATTGAACCCAAGGACTTCATGCTGAGCTATAGTCCTACTTCCTTTTAAATTTTGACACAGGGTCTCCCTAAGTCACTAAATTGCCAAGGCTGGGCTTGAACTTGCAATTCCCCTGCTTCAGCCTCCTAGTGTGCTATGATTACAGGTGTGTACCATGCTTAGTGAGAAGCTCACTTCTTTCTTCCCTTTAAGTTAGGTGTGAGCTGGGCATGGTGGTCAATGTCTGTAACTCCAGCACTCATGATGTTGAGGCAGGAGGATCACCAGAAGTGCAAGACCAGTCTGGGCCATACAGTGAAATCCTGTTTTAAAACACCGAAACAACAACAAAAGAAAAAAATAACCAAAAAAAGCAGGCATGAGTCTGTCTGCCCTTGTGTATCTGTGTGGTTGCATCTATTCCCTCCTCTCTAGCTTATGGGAAGGACAGCTCAGGCCAAGTTCAGGTTGGCATGTTGAGCGTTGAGTGTGCAACTGGCCTGAGTCCATGTGGGGAGAGTTCTTCATTTCTTCTTTGCCAGCAGTCATACATTTACTTTGGGATTCCATTTCCACAGAATGGGAATAATGGGTTTCCAAGCTGGAGTTAGTTAATTACGAAGCAGAATCAGGAACCCCTCACTGCCCTTGGGGTTTTCTTTAGCTGAGAACTCTAGTCCTGCTTAGCTGGAGGCATCATACCACAGTGCCCTCTCCCTTGCCCACCCTGGCACCAGACCTGACCTGCATGGCTGGCTCCTGCTGCCCGGTGTTCTGTGACCCCAAAGGCCCCACTCTGCATTCCTGGTTCCCTCATGTGCACCTCTGATAGCATCACCTCCACACTCCTTCTCCAGAGCTTCCTGCCCCGGCTGCTTTTTCCCCAGGTGATGCTGAGAGAGCTGCTGGTGCCTGGCTGGCCCTGTCACCTGCTTCTCAGAACTACATCCACCCTGGAGGCTTCGGCTTCTGTGACCCCGAAGGACGTCCAAATGTCTACAGGCAATTAGACTTACAGAACAGTGCTGTGAGACTAGCAATTGTAAGATACAGAACCTTAAATATGCACACACCGAACAGAGCTCTAAGATATGTCAAGCAAAACCTGACAGAAATAGAAGGAAAAATGGACAATCCCCAGTACCTAAAGACTTTGCCATGAAGTGAAAGGTGGCTCTGGGTTTGGCAGTTTTGTGTAAAACTGGACATTTTTCTACCACACGCTCAGGCATTTATCCACTCAGCAACTCCCAGGCATTTACCTCACAGACTTGAACGGCTCAGGTTCATACGGACCCGTATATGAATGCTGGTGCCCGCTGTGCTTAGAGTAGCCCCAAACTGGAATCCTTAGATTCCCTTGGCAGGCAGAGGCTGAGGTGAGGCTCACACTGAGGAAGACTGCTCAGCATGAAGGAAGACCAAGCTCCTAGCCACGGAGAAGGCCTCCTAGCCATGGTAATGCCTGGTGGGCATATACCATTGAGGATGGTGGACTTTAGGCTGCAGCACAGTGCCACGCCTGGGGGACTGCAAGTGGAACCGCAGGTGACATTCCTGTGACTAACATCTGTGACCTACTCCCCAGATTCCACAAAGGCAGCAGCAGCCACACCAAGGCATCATGGCAGCAGGGAAGGCTAGAGTGGCCAGAGTAGTATGGACAGTTTTGTTCTACAATTGATGGCAGGGATGCCATCATGCCTCTCCGTCCCGTGAAGAATGTGTCCTCTTTTGTCCTGTGCCCTGAGTTTTCAAGAAAATGATGTCATCTTCAGTGATGAGACTGTGCTATCTTCTCAGGGGACAGTGATGAGATCTGTCTTCCCAGCTTCTCCCTCAAAGAGCACTCTTGTTTTTAAGACCCCAGAGGTTAGAGGCAAGTGGCTTCACATGTCTCCTGAGGGAAAGTCAGTGCTGGCATGGCATTATGGTGTGGGTGGAATGGAGTCACATGGGAAACGATTCCTTGTTTCTTGGGCCTACGGCAGTGATGGTAAACCTCTTAGAGCTCTTAATGACACAAACAGTCTGCTGCAGCAGGCATGCCATAGGCTCGCCACCAGTCCTAGAGTTTGTGATACCAAGACTGAGATAAAATAAGGTTCTTGAGGAGGAACTGATGTTGAGGTAAGCTGCAGATTCAGAGATTAAGCTGAAAATACCTGTGAGCTGGCACAGCAGGGATTTGGGGCAGACGTTATCTAGGCGCCAACCACAAAGAGGGAAACAAAGTAGTCAAGGCTGCTAGGCAGGGATGGTGTCCTAATTACAGTCAACTGAAGCATGAAGACAGACACTGCAGACAAAAGAGACGAACAGCTTCTTGGAAAGCTCTTACAAAGAGTGTGGCTGTGATAGGAAGAGGAGATGAGATTTAGAGACAGATGCAAAGTGGAAGTCACTCCACAGGATCAGGAAGGAGCAGAGACAATTCAGTGGCCTGCAAGGTGAGTGCCAGCACCTGGGCACAAGCCAGGAGACTCCCTTCTTTTGAGACAAGAGGGATGGGTGAAGGTGTTGCAGTGAGAGCAGCCTCTTTCCTAGGCACCCTCCTTTCTATCTCCTGAGGGTGGTAAGGACAGCTAGGAAGGTTCCAAACTGCTGATGTGCCTAGCAGGGAAGAGAAAGGGCTGCTTAGTGCTGCCTAATGAGAGCCACGGGCAGAACCCACGCACCTGGGTGGGAGCAATGAGAATGGATGGAGGGAGCCTGGGCGCCTAGGAAGCAGTGGAAGAAGAGAAGGTGACGTGGCAGAACCATGAAGCCAGGTGCCAACCAGCTTTCTGCATGGACGCCTAGGCACCAGATCCTCAGGGCTGGGAACAGGGCAAGATGCACAGCAGAGGACCTTGCTAAAGGAGGACTGGCCCCAAAGTCACAGATAACAGCAACACAAACGGGGTAGGGGCACAGGACAAAAGAGGACACATTCTTCAGGGGACAGAGAGGCATGATGGCAGAGAGAGGCTGGATCAGGAGAGGCAGGAGGTTTGGGCACAGAGCAGGTGGCTTGGGGAGTTCAAGGAACAGGAAACAGAGGGGAGTGCGGGCAGTGCTCTGCGGAGGCAGCCAGGGCAGCTGCTGTGTGTATGCAGCTCTGCTGAGTGGGACTGGACTGTGTATCTGTAGCTCAGATTCGCAGTGCTGGCTCGGGGCTGTGACTCTGCCAAGGTGTTCGCTGGATCACCTGTGCTAGGGTTGGCTGGTGTGGAAAGAAAGCACCTTAGCAGTGAGCCTGGCCAGCTGTTCAGTATCAAAATCGCCATTTCTTATTTGCTTTCTACTTGATGCAATAATATCTACAAATACTATTACCCTTCTAAGTGGAAAACTGCCCAGAAAGGAAGCCAGTTGCCAGCACAGGCAATAGATAAGATAGATAAAGATGCCTAATGAGAACAGCTGCCCTCGACCAGGAAATAAGATTTGGATGCATTTTGGCCTGTTGGGTTTTATTTACATTTACAAAAGAATAAAGTCTGCCAACTACTCCACTTAGAAATAGGGTAAGTAGTTTATTAAGATGTTCTGTAGAATACTCCAACTAGGGCCAATAATACAAAAAAAAAAAAAAAAGTGGGAAAGAGAGAGAGGATTTAATGTTCATGGGGAGCTGCATCTAGTGTAGGCCTCCTCCTGCAACCTACATAGCAGACAGGCAGGTGAGCAGTGAGACAGGAAAGGACAGTCCTGCCGGATCATCCTCTCCTCAGGAGCTGGCCCTGTGACGTTGACACCAACACACTCAGAGCCTTATAGCCTTACTGCCTCTTGAGGTCCACCTTGTAATGCTGTTACAATGCCAATTAGGTTCCCACATGAATTCTGATGGGGATATTTAGACCACATGCAGAAAACACGGTCAACCAGAGCAAGCATCGGAGCCAGTCTCCAGGATAGGAATCTGGGTCATGTGTCAAGGGTGCAGAGGGTGAGTCAGCCTCTGGCTCAGCTCCACCTGCAGGTGGGACCCAGGTTCACGGGACAGCAGTTATGGGGACCAGGCATGGATGCAGTATAGACAACCCACCTCCGCCTGGTTTATACCTCAGCTTGGGCACTCCACCTGTCTTCAGTGCAGAGATTTCCTGGTACAGGGTGGAGACAGGACTGTGAGGTGATGCCAGGGGATCTTTAGCCCGATCACATTCAAGAGGTGGACCAGAATCCCAAGGCCACACAGAAGCTAGAGACTGCCCTGCCTGTGGGAAAGTGTGGCCAGGGAAGCCAGCTGTACCACGAACAGCACATGCTAGAGGAAACAGGTGGGTCCTTGTTAATGCATGTGGCTTTCATAACTGTGAGCATTTAAAGGAACTTGTTTATGTAATGATATACTGTACTATAATTAACATTTTACCTGTGAAGTTTTACAAGTATCTGCACTATGCAAACTCTACGGATTTAAAAAGATAATCCAGAATGTGAACCTCATCCCATGCAGATAGGTGATGGGTACAGTGTAC